AAGAAAACCAATCTCTCAGCAATAAAGTTTGGACGGAAGAGATGGCGCTAATCAATTGGTGACAATGAAATATTGGAAACTGGTTAACATTGACAGTACAACTTTATCAGTGGTCCGGTTTAATCCGCCTCGGGGAGACTGACACATGCTTTCTTTTTTTTTGTAACGTTTTGATATTTTTTGGTAGTTTTGTGTTCTCGTATTTGTCGACAGGAATAATGAAGAGGACACATTTAACAGCCTTCTGTCAATAAGATTAACACGGTTGGCTACGTACGGTGCGAAAGAAGTTCAACATACTTACACGTACATACAATAGACCACCTAACGAAGGCTTCTTCCACAATCTGTCAGTGAAAGCGGTTTGGTTGATCATACTTCGCTATTATTGTCAGCGCAGGTTGGTAAAGGTGAAGGGGTGGCGGGATTGGTTTGGATACCACTCGCCACTGATGCACCCTATTGCCTATTCACCAGTTGATGAGACTCTCTGCAAAGTAAGATGCCCCCCATACATTACATAAAAGGTTGGAAAATGTGTGTCTTATATTCCAGAGAATGTACGTATGTATGTATGGTGAACTTCTTCTTGGTTCTTTCGGTAAAGTCACGTAGAAGGGAAATAATAAAATAATAACAATAAAACATAATAAAATAATTCTCACGAAGATTCGGCCACAACGCAAGCAGCCGTCCTCAGGTGAAGAACAGGTCCGTCGGAAAGACAGCGTCTGAATTCGAAACGTCGTGAGAATTATTTTATTATGTTTTATTGTTATTATTTTATTATTTCCCTTCTACGTGACTTTACCGAAAGAACCAAGAAGATGAATCCCTGCAGTCACGAAAGCTTTAAATCGAAATTCATGTTGAACTTCTTTCGCGCACCGTACACAGGCAACCGTGTCCATCGGAGGTGTCGTAGCCGTGGCAGAGAATCAAACTCTGGTCGCATATTGTACTACACTACCTCTCAAACATGCACGTTTGTTACAGATTATATGTTTCTGTGTATTATTATATGAGTGAAAATCTAAGAAGGGGAAACATTTCCAGCAAATATTCCGTAAAAAAAATATTGTTCACTTTTATACATTTTCGTTTAACAAAAAATACGATCAGTTGGTGAATTGTCAAAGCACGGTACAAAATCGCATGTCTGACTTGCTCGACTCTGAGATGGCTGGATATATGAAAGTTGACACGTGTGAACATCGAGAGAAAATGACCATTTACAGCCTGCGCAAAGACTGCACTGGTCAGGGTGGAGACGTGACGGTCGGATACGCGGCGTTCTAACGGATTAACAATACGACTACGTGAGCATATGTTAAGCGTTCATTTTATTTAAAAAAATTACTTGACCGTTCGAAAAAATATACACCACATTCCTTGCCAGTGGCCCAAAATAATTAATTACTTTTGAACTCCCGTGAACAAAAAAAAAGTTAAAATGAAATGTTAAATCGAACGCTGCAGAGGCATGTCATTTGCAAAGTTTGAAACTGCAACAGAAATGCCTTCCTACAAAGTATGTCCTGTTGGCATGCATTATAAATACAGAGCAGCTATAATGGATTACTTGAAAGTAAGTTTTGACAGCTGTGAACAGTGAAAAGATTATGAAAAAAATACATGACACACACACACAAAATAATCTCTACCTCTCTAGAAGACAGCCAAAGCAAAATTTAAAATAAGCAAGACATAAAAAAACGAGCCTGACAATAATTCTAACAACGAATGACCAACCCAGGATAAGTTAATCGCAAATTTTATTAAGCCAAACCTTTATCTTAAAATTCACTTCATAAACATTATGAGTGGTGGGCAGCAACTTTCATTAAACTTTCTCCCAAAGATGATTTCTCCGAGCTCGTGTGGCATTGCGGACTAACGAGATTTCATTATGAAAAGTCGTACAAGTGTTCACCGTGGCCCTAAAGCAATCACTCCGTGCGCTGAATGAATTTTGCATGCGCGTAATTCTCTGCATTATCTCGGTAAGTTTAGGTGATTGCCCCTAAAGGGGAATGGCAATGCGGGCGCAGAACGTGTTTAATTAATATATAAACTGACGATCTAAGGTTATAAATCGTTCAAGTGGCTCCACACATTTAGGAGAGCGTGAGAGAGGTAATGTAACATGAGCTATCAGCTCACTGAAATATTTATTTAATTCAATGAACAATGAAAAACAAGTGCGCACATTTAACTTCACCATTTCATTCTGTTCATTTATGCCACTTTTGCTGATAATTTCTCCCCATCCCCTCCCCTTCTTCTTCCAGGTTTGTGTAACATTTAATAACTTTTCATAGCCCCACACACTTTAGCTGACCCAACGGTCGAACACTTCCTGGCTTCGGAAATATCTCGGCAAGAGTTGGTTGGTGGTGAACTGCATCACAACATATGCAGATACCGCATGGGGCCATCGCTATGAATATGCGTGTTTTATCCGTGACGGCCTCATTGAGTCTCAATAATCTTTTTCAGATCTTGCCAAGTTTTTAGAAGGTATTTTCAGAATTGGGATATTTGTCCAAAAAATAGTGACATTTCACATTTTCCCAAGGAAACCACGTTGCAAAAAGCTGGGGGGGAACAACGTACAAACTCTACAGAGGAAGGCACGCGCCCAAGTCGGGAATTGAACTCAGGAGCCTTCCTGTTGGGAGGCACAAATGCTACCACCGTGCCACCCGGCCGCTTAGCGGAAGGCTCAACGACACTCCACAGTGTGAAATGTGCCGAACGACTTTTCAGTAAGCGAACATTGGGTGAACAGCCGTTCGCTCCTCCTCATTCCCCCCATAAAACATCTCTCAAATTCACTCCGCATCTCCCTGAACTCGATATCAAAAAAGTACTAATACATTAAATAATTCTATTTCTCATCATCATCATCATACGTGTGTATGCATGTTGAACATCGTCCGCACAGTATGCAGCCAACCGCGTGACTCGGAGGTGCAAGGAAAGGAGGATGAAACTAAACACAAAAGGCAGTTCTAAAGAAATTAATGAGAAGATGTTGCCTGGTCATTGAATACATAAATGTTCGTTATGAGTATTATTATTACTACACGAGCTTACCCAATAAAGCATGACAGTTTCATGAAGACTCTTTTTCAGGAGCGTCTCCTGCCAAATTGGAAGTCACGTTGCTGCTGTTGCTGCTGCTGCTGCTGTTTGCAATCCCAATCGAGTAATTTACAAGTACATTTTTACTCTCTCTCCGGTATTGGGGATGTTTGGCCGATACCAGTTACATTATGCATTTGTGTTTTTACCAACGTACGTTCGTCGGTTGTTCTTGTTGTTGTTGTCTCAAATCGTCGGCCATGTGCACTGCGCCGCTGTCGTTTTTCGTATTACGGGAGGTGCACACGAATGATTTCGCTTTTCTGAGTTGTTGCCGACAACAAATAACAAAAACGACCGAACGTGCACACGCGCGCACGCGCAGAGGCGCGCAGAGAGCACAGCCGCATGCAAATCAATTCGCAGCCAACGGAAGGAGGCATAGTGACAAATATATAAAGCGTCCCTCGGCGCACGATAATGAAACTTCACACACCTCTGTATTTCCAGGATAGCGAGAGTTTAAATGGTGAACGGGCTCCAAATTGCACAGAGGAGCAGACAAAACTGTGAGACTGCAGCCACCGTCGCTCCGAGCGTCTCTGAGGCCCTCTCGAGCCTCCACGGCTTCGCAAGGCCTAGCACCCCAAGCTGCCGTGATAAGTGCTCACATTATGCTTCATTAAAAAACGTACGGGGGGGGGGGAGGGGGGTGTGTGGGGGATTGGGCGTTATAATGAGATGTATTACCTCGAGAGGTCGGACGCACACACTCGCGTTCAAGAAAATATCAAGGGCTCAGTGCAAGATCCTCTTTTTTGTGACATTTTTGTGGTCAGATGTGAATCGCCTTCTCGAAAGAAAGTGCAGTAATGGTCTTAATGGATACGGTGAATAGGGAGGAGGAGTTGGCAGGTAATTCTAAGTTCAGTGGCGAGAACATTCGTCCCGTTGACTATCGTGGCAAATGGGTGGGGTGAACCGGTTGTTACTCGCTGGACAGACAAGTGAGCGCAAGCTTGAAACAAATAACGATAATAATGCGTAACAGGTGAATTTTTAGGCAGCAAAGGATGCAATTTTCACCGTATGCGCTGGATGTCACACGGCATCACCATGCTGTGTGTATCGTTCACAAAGCCTTGCTTCAGACCGCCAGCATAAAAAAGTAAAAAAATAAAATTGTGGCCATATTATCCTTGACAGCAATGAACGAGTTTTTTTTTTTTTTACCATGCCCCCTTGTCACTGCAAAGCCAGCACTATGAGTGTGTGTATCGCAGTCTGTCCATCGGCAGGTCGCGTGCACAGTGGGGGTAAAGTGTGGGTACTGCCACCTCCTCCGAGACGACTCGGCAAAGTGGAATACCCTTCAGAGGGGTTCCCTGCAGCTCTCTGTGGTGGGGTGCCTTCCGCAAGAATTGAAAAGCGGGGAATTTCACATCACATCTTATGCAATGCGGCCAGTCTCTGTCACTCAGGGGAGGTGTCCAGTATGTATGTTGAACTAATATAGGAAAGAAGAGCGTTCCAGACGGCCGCAGAAGCGCATCTGAAAGTGCACGATGCAGCGACCGTCTTTGTTCGATGGCCAGCCAAAAGTACGCTGCGAGGATGACCGGCGTTTTGTGATATCATTTAGATATCATTCGTCACAAACGTTCGTCTTGGTCGGGAACTGAAATTCCGATCACTGTGTTCATAGCGCCACTGCTCAACCCATGCCCCACCACCCCTCCTACCTCTTCCAAAGCATCCGGCGAGCGTTGAAAAAAGCGGCTCTCCAACAGTGGAGAGAGCAAACGATTGCAGGGCTGTACCTGGTACCCATTTAGACAACATCAGGATAGTTGGTGTGAGGAGTAGGGAGTGGCGGGTGAGAGAGGGGGGGCGGGGTAGATGCAGTTCCTTACCACGCAGCCCGACGAGTCGATGCGACGCTCAGACACGCAGTGGAAGTTCCGCGTGCAGCCACCGTTGTCCCGCGAGCAGTCGCGGACCGGGCCGAACGAGTCCAGCAGATCCTCGAGGGACTCGAAATGCGTCGAGCGCATCGCCTCCTCCCTGCGTAAGGCGAGGGGGGGGGGGGCGGAGAGTTGTGGGGGTTAATGGGGTGAAACGTAAGATCGATTAGGGGAATGCTCGAAAGTGGTTGGGGAACGAGGAATACCGCGCTGTGGCCGGATGTCAAATATCCAACATGGGGAGGGGGATGGAAGCTGTCCTCAGCCATAGACGGAGATAAGTGGAGAGATATCTTATTGCACTCGCACTGCGAGTGCAATAACTGCGATGGGAGCGGTGACATCACGGTGTTCCAGAAAGTCCAAGGGAATAGAGGAAGAGGAGTGAACCAATGGCTTCACATCTGTCATCTTAGTGCGAGTCGTCGATTGACCACTCAATGCTGTTCATTTAACACAGTGAGAACCCACAGTGCTTTGTCAATCCACTGCTGGATGACGGGCTTCTCATGCCGCGTCAGGCACGGAGGTTCGCTCGGCCGTACCGAAGGTCGGCGAATGGGGAGGCTCCCAAGACCTGTCCAGAAAATCACTCGCCCACCGACATTAACCCTGGCTGGGAGTCGAACTCAGGTTTTGCCGGGGTTCGTAGCACGAAGCTGCTGCTGCCACCACTGCGCGCTGCACGCGACGGACCAGGATGGATTCGGGCTGTGATGGGTCACACTGTGGACCCGATGTTGCGAATGTGCAAAGTTTACGACCCAATAGTGACGTATTATTTGAGTTGCGAGTTAGCATTGTTTAAATAAATAAATTAATACCGCGCGCACACTGCATTTATTGCAAAAAAGGGAGGAATTTTGACGTAACGTTGATGTGCCTTATATGCTACCCTTTTGCAATAATTTACAGGATAGTCCATGCCATAAAGGATTCATTAAATGCATGCAATTACTACCCTGAGCTGTATTGCACTACCTGTTTGACACAGAATGTCGGTTTCCAATCGGAAAGTCCCTAATTGCCCGAGTTCAATTATTATATACTAACCTTTCCTCTAGAGATCCCCCTAATGGGTGTCAGTCGGATTCTTTAAAGATCCATAGAGGCACATGGCACGGATGCCCTCTGCCCTGTTGTTTTTTTGTTGTTGCACTCACTGCACGTGAGATGAGGCTTTATATAGATCTAGCCGGGATTATGCACCAGAATAAATCTATCCGAATCTTCCCTTCACGCAATGCACTTTTGCCGGTTCAAAAAAACTCAGTGGTAGAGCTCTCTATATATACACGTGCCAATTATGTTCATGAACTTGCTGGGATCCCGCCGCCGATACGATTAAAATGAGACGCATTTGTGAAATCGCTCCAGGATTTCCACAAGATGCGGTGTTCGGCGGTCGTGCCGTGCCACGCGCTGTTCGGCGGGACGCCCCACGACATTTCGCTCCAGGCGCTGGGAGCCTGCTGCGTCTCCCGACGTCTGTGCCTCGCGTCGGAGCTTTGGCGGAAAAAAGCGAAGAGGCTCCCAACACGTGGAGCGAAACGTCGGCCTTCGCGCCGCAAACGACGCGTGGTACAACCCACGAAGGCACCGGAGAGCCGTGCTGCAGCTGCAGCATGACCACGAAGCAGAAGTCGCAAACGGATTTTGATTCCTTACCCGTACCCGGCCGCACCAGGGTCGCAAATGGGTACCCGTACCCGTACCCGGCCGGGTACGGGTAGCCGGGTATCGGGTAGGGTACGGGTATCGGGTACCCTATTGCGACCTCTGCCACGAAGGCATATGCAGTAGTACACACTGAATGGTTCCCCCATTCGAGAAAGCCACACCGTCTTAAAAACCTCGCAAGATCTGCTTGAAATTGCACCTTTGCCAACTCGAGCCACCCCGGAGCCTCTAACCAGCCCTCGATGGATTCAGGTAACAAGAGATAATTTATGCCAATTGCTTGAACGATTTTGAAACTACGGCACAGACCCAGGGAAGAGCAATTTCACATTTCAGTTGTCTGAGGTTGCCAGATGGCTCAGAGGTCAGAGCAATGAACCAGCACTGCCGGGATCTTGGGCTCAAGTCTGGGTTACAGATGCCCGTGATCAAACCACCGGGTTGCCACGTGTACCACAGAAACATCACGTAAAATGTAAATGTTTCACTTGATGTGGTAAAAGTTCTGCTCTCAATGGCACGTGAGAGACACCTCTTCTGTCGCAGGCAGGATGGGAAGACGTGCCCACTGGAGTGTGCATAAACAAGTTTAATATATTCAGTTCAGAATCTCAATATTGATTTACACAGGAGAGAATCTGATGAGTGACAAAAGCTCTATTCACATTTCTGGCACAGTGCTACGAAATGTCCCGCTGTGGGTCGTTCAGTGACACACGGTGCCATGCCCAGGTTCTGTTATCCCAAACGGACGCGATGTCTCCTGACGGTGACGTCGAAAGCACAATTGGAATACAAATTTTGAATTTTTTTGAAATAAAATTTGTATTCATTCCCCAAAGATAAAGAAATCTAACCGTTGTACTTATTAACTTTCGACCTTGCGTAATTTAAAGGGAAGACAATAATATTGATGACCCTTTATAAACGTACCAATTGTCGTATATCCACTGCTAGATAAGAGCATTCCAATGCCAATCGGGTCATTAGGTCGACTGACCACGCTGCACCACCCTGATCAGTGGGGGTTAAAGGGGACAGCCAAGATCGGTTGAGATGTCGCTCCTCAATGATGTTAGCCATGACCGGGAATTGAACTCATGTGACTTGGTGCACAGCGCAGCGCGTTAACCACTGCGCCACCGCTACGCCAATTTAAATTCGGTTCATCCACCAAAAACAACACCTTTGAATTCAATCACATTTCTAAACTTCATCACGCCGGCCAGTGCGGATTGGCAAAGGCAGGAAGCCATATACACGAGAGCATAGACGTAAATATCGATTTAAAGCTTTCGTGACTGCAGGGATTCATCTTCTTGGTTCTTTCGGTAAAGTCACGTAGACGCTGTCGCCTCGACAGACCTGGTTTCACCTGATGACGGCTGCTTGCGTTGTGGCCGAAAGATCGTGAGAATTATTTTATTATGTTTTATTTTTATTATTTTATTACTTCCCTTCTACGTGACTTTACCGAAATAACCAAGAAGATGAATCCCTGCAGTCACGAAAGCTTTAAATCGAAAAACAAACTTAACCAAAGTGATTCTTCCCCAACAAGTCAAAGTGGTGCTACATACAAATTCACGTTTTGTCAGTCATCGTCTTTTGTGAACAGGCCTCCGTCAATGGTGGAATGTGGCTGGTAGGGTTGCCACCTCCGATCTATAAACAAAATCCTGAGACACTTCATGGGAATACGATCATCTGCATCGACATCGAGAAGATTAGCGATAGACACCAATGTCTGAAGAGGTGATATGTTATGCAACTCACAAATGTTTGGACTTTTAAGGTCTCTGAGATAGACTCGCTGATGTCTCAGGACAAACAGCTACCTTAACAAGAGGGCGATACTGGGGAAACCAGGACAGGTGGCAGCCTTACTAGTCCCTGGGAAAAGTCCATGCGTAGCACAATCACTGTTGACTTACTACAAATTGGAACTACTTTTATACGCCACAGGATGATGAAGCGCTGAGTTTGCCTTCCAACCCCAATTAGGATTTGAACTCCCTAACCTTTTGGATTTGTGAGGGCCATGCTCTAACCTCTCTGTCACATGGCCAGATGCCGAGTTATACATTGGGAAAGTTTAAATGGACATGATTTCACTTTCCCCGTCGTCTTTTATATGGTAGCAATCAAAATCAGACTGGAGCATTACTAAGTGCAGTCCAGCCCAGTGTTATTCTCGGAATGATGAATAAGTTCACTAAGGTCAGTCGGCATTCGTTGACCGTGGAACCACTCGACACCATGTGCTGCTAAAGTGTCCACGTGTATACGCACATGCGTCCATCTACATCCATTCGAGACCCAAACATTGCACCTCCTGGCTTTGACACCGGTGCTCTAAGAAGCATAGACGTAGATTGAAACAAGACATTTTGCAAATGTCAACCACGAGCCTCAGTGTGTTTAGATGGGAGTGCAACCCTCACTACTTTGTCATGGCTTTTATTTAAAGATGATTTTTTCTTCTTTGCATTTTATTTTCGTCTACAATGTTTTGAGTGGAGGTGATTTTACATTCAAAATTAATGCGGCTCACGTTTTACGGACATCATGTAGCTTCACCACCACGTACGTAACCTCATACATCAAGTTTAGGGAGCTACTGGTTTTCAGGTATTGAGCATGTATTGGAGGTAGGGGAGGGGGGAGATGGCGCTCTGATGTTACGAATGTCGAAACTTATCTCCTTCCAACAGAATTGCTGAGGTGCTGCTACTTTTCTCTGCAACAAGCGGAAAGGAGGACAGGAATAACCAAGCCTGGAGAAAATACTTGCAGCTGACAATGGCCCCGTTGTGTCGCAGACGCTATCTAACACATTCAGCGCGTCGGCCCGGCAGAGATTATTTCGCGTACTTAAAAATTTCAGACTGCCGTCAAGACCTTTAATCCATAATCCCAGCCTCAACGTTAGACGGGAAGTGAGATATTCTTAAAGTGGCTCGCTAATCACACACTTGCATCGGGAGTAGCCGATACACTGCACCTGCGGGAACACCTCTTGGCCTTTGGATGCTGGCCCTGCCAGACAAGAAAGCCGATTCTATATACAAAAAAAAAACTGAATTGGAGAAAGATGTCCCAAAGCCAAACGACAAAGGGGCAACATCTCACCAGATCGCACCGAGATTTTGGAGCGTGTCGTATTACCGCATCTGCCTTTAGGGAGCATGTCTACAATCACGAGGATTTCGTAGATCGCTCCAGACATCAATCCTGCCCTGCGTGTGCACGCCGTTGCAGATGCTCTTCGGCGCTTATCATGCAATGCTCAAGCAACTTCTGTCAGGATGGTCTCCACGGAAGGGAGCTTTTGGTAGACTCTCTGAAGGAATATTTTGGCCTACCCTCTCACACGGGCTAGAAAGGGTAGGAGAACCCACACTTAATAATAATACTCAA